TGAGAGGAGAATGGAGGAGAAGGGATTGCAGCATGACCATCCCCCCTGGGGGGTGATTTCTCGCTTTCTGTCTCTATGCCTCTCTCTGTCTGTCTGGCGAGGGCACGAGCCCTATGGCAAAAATCTCTCCAAAAAAAAAAAAAAAAGAAAAGAAAAGAAAAAACCATGTGTTAATAAATTTGTTCATGCATGAGTTACAGTGCTACTGGCTGTGAATCCAATATTAATGAATCAAATAATATATATGTATGTTATATAAGGTGCTTTAAACAGAAACACACACAAAAAAAGGTTGTGTTATTCCTCAATTAACAAAAACATTTGTGTCCAGAGGCTCTCAGGAACCTACATTTGTATTTCCCTTGTGAACAATGATTTAGTATTTGATAATTCAGTGCTTGTGGAAACTTTACAGAATATAACTACCTCAAAGAACTGACTAAATATTATATTGGTTTGTTGGAAAAGTCATGACACATTTTTGCATAGAAAAAACATATCATGAGTTTTCTAACAACCAAATAAATCCCCAGATATATCTTCTGCTTTACACAATCGAGTGACTTTTCCTTTTTATTTTTTATTAAAGACAGGGTCTCACTGTGTCATGATCCTCCTGCTTCAGCCTCTTGAGTAGCTCAGACTACAGGTACAAAGCACTGTGCTCAGTTTAATCAAATATCTTTTAAAGGCATGCAGGAAAAAAAATAAAAAAGCTTTTATATTTCTCCATATACCAGTATTCTTCATTTCTCCTTACAGATCCAAGTCTTCAGTGGAGATCATTTCCTCCCAGCCTGAATATCCACCTTTAGAATTTTTTAAAAATTACTTAATTTTATTTATTATTATTTGAAACTATGCTATAGAGCATGTGTGTTCACGAGAGAGAGAGAGAGAGAGAGAGAAAGAAGAAAACAAGCCACCAGGTCCAGGACTCAAACTGTGGTTAGCCACGTGGGAGTCCAGCACCTTAACCACCACATCACCTGCTGGCCCTGACCTTTAGCATTTCTTATGCTGCAGATTAGCTGACAAATTTCTTCAGCTTCTTCTTATCAGAAAATGTCTTGGGTGCAAGTGGTGTAGTTGTAAAGGCACTGGACTTTCACGGGGCTGAACATGGTTTGAGTCCCAGCCTCAGCGACTTGAAACTCATGTTGGACATGTGTACTAGTAGCCCAAAATCTCGAGAGAAGAATGGAAGAGAACGGATTGTGGTGTTGCCGTCCCCCAGAGTAAGGGAGTGATTTCTCTCTTTCTGTCTCTCTGGCAAGTACACATACCCTATAGCAAAAATCTTTCTCAAAAACAAAAGTCCTGGGGCCAGCAGGTGGCATGGTAGTTAAGAACATTGGACTTCCACATGGCTGACTGTGGTTCGAGTCCCAGACCTGGCGATTTGCATGTGCTCTCTTTCTCTTTCTCTGTCTCTCTCTGGTCAAATTAAAAATAAATAAATTAATTAATTAATTTAAAAAATAAAGTTAAATAAAATAATTCTTTTTTAAAAGTCTTTATTTCACTTCAATTTTTGAAAGATACTTTTGCTGGATTTAGAATTCTGAGTTGGATGTTTTTTTCTTTCAACCCTTTCAAGATGTTACTGTATTGTCTTTTGACTATGTATTTCTAATAAGAACATCAACTGTAGGTCTAACTGTTGTTTGTTTCCTTTTTTCTCTGTCTGCTTTTAAGATATTCTATTTTTCTTTGGTTTTTAGCACTCTAACTATGATATACTAGGTGGGATTTTCTTTATATTATTTGAGGTTCCCTGAGATGCTTAGATGAATGGATTTATATTTTTTATAGATCTCGATTTAAAAGTGTTTTTAGTCATTAATTCTTTTTTTCTTTTCTGTTTATTTTTTGGGAGAGGTTTACGCTATAGGGCACGCATGCACTTGCCAGAAAGCCAGAGAGAGACAGAGAGACAGAAAGCGAGAAATCACCCCCCAGGGGGGATGGCCACGCCGCAATCCCTTCTCCTCCATTCTCCTCTCGGGATCTTGGGCACGCACACACATGTGCCTGGCGTGAGTTTAAGCCACCGGGTCCAGGACTCGAACTGCGGTCGACTACATGGGAGTCCAGCAACATAGCCATTACGCCAACTGCTGGTCCCAGTCATTAACTCTTTAAATATTTCTTGTGTTCTATTCTCTTTCTCCTCTTCTTCTCGAGCTTCAATTAGAGGTATGCTATCATTTCTGACCATGTCCTACATCTCTTTTACTTTCTATTCTGTTCTTTGTATTCTTTTCTCTTTGTCTTTTTATGTATCTATTTGGAAATTTTTAAATTTGTTTTTGAGTTCACTGATTTCTTTCCTCTGTTGTAGCCAGTCTTCTGTTAAACCACCCAGTGATTTTTATTTTTTAAAGAGATTTTTGCTTTAGGGTGTAGGGTGTGTGTGCTTGCATGGGAGTCCAGCTATGTAACTTTTATGCCATCTGCTGGCTCCCTTGATTATATTTTTTAATTTAACATTTTTTTAGTCAGAATTTTTTCCACTTTGGTTATTAGTTTTCATTTCTCTGCTTAAGTTTCCTCTATTCAATTTGTATGGATTTTTATTTTTCCTAGACATTCTTTAACATGTGGAAAAATTGTTGTTTTATATTTCTTATTTGCTAATTCCCACATTTGGATGATTTACACTTCTACTGATTATATTTGCTTTGATTATATGACATTTTCCAGCTTTTCAAGTCTATAGATTGAAAGTTCTCAGCCATTATTTCATCAAACTTCAAATATTATTTTCAAATATCAAATCTGTAGAATGTTCACTTGTTTCTACAATGAATTATCTTAAACTACTCTACCTTTCCCCCCTCATTCCATCTACTTTTTCTTCTATTTTCTTTAACAACATATTCTTTCAAAGTCCTTGTCAACTAACTTCACTATCTGGATCAGATCTTGGACTGCTCTTATTGACAGTCTTATCGCTTAACTAGTGTTCATTTATATTCTCCTGCCTTTTCTTTTCTTTTTTTAAAACAAAGACTTTTGCTATGGGGCACGTGTGCTCACCAGAGAAAGAGACAGAAACAGAAAGTGAGAAATCATCCCCCAGGGGGGATGGCCACACCACTATCTCTTCTCCTCCATTCTTTTCTTAGGATTTTGGGCACGCGTGCACACGCACCTGGCATGAGTTTTAAGCCAGTGGGTCTGGGACTCAAACCATGGTCAACTACATGGGAGTCCAGTGATGTAACCATTACACCATCTACTGGTCCCTCCCATGCTTTTTCACATGTCTGTATTTTTTTAATTACTGAATATTGTCATTGACATATTACTAGAAATATTTAGAGATTTCTTATTTTGCTAGAGGGTGTATATGCTCACTGGAGACAGAGTGAGAGAGAGAAAGAGAGAAAATGAGAAAGCACCCCCATGGGGGGTGTCACACCACAATCCCTTCTCCTTCATTTCTCCTTTTGGGATTTAGAGTGTGCATGCACAAATGTTTGGCATGTTTTCAAGCTTCAGGGTCCAAAATTCAAAGCACACAGTTGGTCATACAAGATCCAGCCACCTTAACCACTGGCTGGCCCTTTGAATTACAGTATCTTCGTCAACACTTTTAGTGTTGAGTTTATTATGTTATAGTTAAATTACTTTGTTCCTGTTAAGATCTGCTTTTAGGCCTTGTTTGAGAAGATCTACTTCAGTTTTGTATTTTCTTAGACCACATTTGTTGTTCTCACATTTTCCTTACTCCTAGGGTATGAGCCTTCTGTGATCGCCACTAAATAATTAAGGCAGTCACCAAAGTCTCTGCGCTCTGGCTAGGTACAAACACCAATGTCTTTTCAGGACTGTGTGACCTCTAAAACTATTTAAGCTCTCAGGTTCCCAGCAAGCACTTTGCTAGGTGCTCAGGAGTTCACTCAGATTTTTGGAATTGTCTCTCTCTGAGTCCCTTCTCTCTATGGGACTTTGCTCCACAAGATCCAGTGGACTTAGCAACTCCAAAGTATGATCCCCTGTTTCCTCAGTCCAGTGAGACTGCTGTTCCCTTCCTGTAGCATCCCTAGCTAGAAAGTCTGGGTGAATGTAGGACTCACCTTACGTGTCTCCTATTGATGTACAATGTCTTCACACAGCTGCATTATATATTTTGTACAGATTTTAAAAGTATTTATGGGGGGGAAGTAAGTCTAATACAACAACTCTATTATTCTTGATACTGGAAATCAGTGGAAATTCGAGAATCTTTACATCTACGTCTTTAGTATTTTTCAGGGTGTAGTGTAAAACCTAGGGAGTAGCATTTGAAGAGTGTGACTAATTGATTTTTTCTTTTGCTTCCCACAAGTAGGGTTTGTTCATATCTGTAAGTTTTTGTAATTTGCAAAAGTTATTATTAACATTTACTGTAGAGAAAAAAAAGGATGCTTCTTCCTCAAAATTTTAAACTGCATTTTTGACATAAGCAATTACACAAGTAGAAAAACTGGGGCCAGCAGGTGGCATGGTGGTTAAAGGTGCTAGACTCCCACATGGCTGACCGCAGTTCAAGTTCTGGACCTGGTAGCTTGCTTTCTCAGTTTCTCTGATCAAACTAGAAAATAATAATTATTAATCAATTTAAATAAGATAATTCTTTTTTAAAAAAAGAAAAACTAAATCATTTTCCTTTTACATATCCATACTAACATTAATGGTAGCATCCTCATTTTCAAATATTTAGCTTTTCAAATCTGTTTTCTTTCCCTAATTAGATTATAAATTACCCAAGGGCAGAGACTACAAGTTATCCTTCTTTATATCTCTCATGAGCTCTAACACATTCTACCACACACAATAAACACATATTGATTGATTATACTAGTGCTGTCATTTGTCTATACCTATACCATTATGTCTTTATTCTGAGTCAAGCATGAAACTATTGATGACATAACTCAAAGAAAGGTAGGAAGGAAGGGAGAGAGGAAGAAGGAAAGGAAGGTAGGAAGGAAAAAAAGAAGCACACATACTCAGTTATATTTTCTGCACTTATGGTCACGGCAAGTTCCTGTAGTCGATGGGTAAGCTTATCCAAAAGATTACGCTCCTCTTCTTTTTTCTGATTATAATTCCCGACAGGTGTATCAGCCTATGAGAGATATAGGTCCATTTCAGTGAGAAACTAATTTCAGTTCCCTATTACGTTTATTGTAAAAGAATAGCAAAAACTTCCAGTAAGTGCTATAAACAAAGTAAGCATCAACATGAAATTATATCTTATCTTGGGGAAATAGGACTTAAAATGTAGATTATTGAACTAGAAGGCAAACCAAATGAATAAATAAAATGACACCACTTGTTTTTGGTTTCTATTTTGTTTTTATGTTACGTATTGCACATGCTCCATAATTAGTCAGAAAGATCGACAGTTCTGACAGAAGATTAGCATTAGAACCAAAAGGACAATGTCAGTCTCAAGTTCTGTCACTTACTGACAGAGATATGGTCACCTCAGCTTTAACAGCCTCATTTTCCTCATCTGTAAAACAGGAGTAATTAGGTCTGCTAACTCAGGGTCCATCTGTCTCGTAAGATGAAAAGTTCTGGGCCAGCCTCAGTGACTCATGATGAAGGAAGCCAGATTCCACGAGGCCAACTGTGGTTTACAAAGCACCATCAGTGGCTTGAGAAACATGCTGGGCACGTGTGCATGTGTGCCTACAATCCCAACAGGACTGAGAAATGGAGGAAAAAGGATTGTGGCATAACCATGCCCCTTTGGAGGGTGCTTCTCCCACCTCTTTGCTTCTCTCCTCCTCTTTGACAAGCACACATACCCTTTGTCATTTAAAAAAAAATTTTAAAACTAAATAAAAGAAGAAAGAAAGACAATTCTGTGTTACCAGAAGAGCTCAGAAGGGATGCTCATTAACTCCTTGTCTCAGATGCAGTTTAGGGGATTGTGTATGGAAGGGAGATGACATACAGGTGGCTTCCTCTCTAAATGCTCTGTGGGGCTCTGGCCTAGGATACCCAGCTGAAGCTCAGGCTCATTTTAAAAAAAAAAAAAAAAAATCCTGAAAGGACTGCCAAGAGTAAATTCTTGTTCCTCCAGTTTCTGCAGAGTCACTGCTATCAGAGCCACCTTGTAACATAAGAGGCTTCTTTCCCACTTACCCTCAGGACCAGATTATATACTCTCTTTACAATGGAGTGAAAATAAAAACAATTATAAGCTGTAAACATATACCTTATACAATGTAAAAATTAAACGAACATCCTTTAGATTTCCAGAGTCCTCACTGCTGGGTGACCTCATCAAAATCCAGCTTTGGTCCGTAGTTGAAGCCCTGGCTTTCCTGCTGCAGAGCACACCGTTAGTGAGCCGGCTGGGCAAGTTGGTGCTGATGGTGGTTAGACTTTATCACCAGTCAAACCCAGGAATTTACTGACCTGAATTAATTTCCACTTCATGAAAGTATTGATATAAAAGGTGATTTTTTTTGGTATGTGATTAATTGTAATACTTACTTTATTTAATTTTTGAAGAATGTTTTTATTTTCATCTATTGCCTGTTTTAACTGGATACATCTAAGTTTAAAAAAAGAAAAAGGAAAACATTGATTTTTTTCTACTGTCAGAACCAGAGTTATTTTATAAAATCATTCAAAGTCTTTCAGCAAGCAGGGCAATTACAATACTAAAAAAATTCACACGCAAATGCCTTTCTACCCATTCACTCAGATGCTCCTCATAGCCAAGCTCTAAGGTGCACAGACATGATAACCAAGACTCAGAAACCTTAGGTGACTGGGCATCCGATTCCTATTTCTAAAATGTGGAAGGACACTGACTGCAGAATGTTTGTCCAGCTCAAGAATCCCACTAGCCATGGAGACGGTAACAGCAGTCCTAGCTTACTGCATGCCAAACACCGCGCTGAGTGGTTTACAACCCTCATGGCAATCCTCACTCCAGCTGAGGAGAGTAAGGTGCCAAGGTGTGTTCACATTCACAGCTACTCCACGGTACAGTAATAATGGGAATGCACCGTGGGGTTCCAGAGCTGGCTTCTTTCCACCAACACACTCCTTGTCCTGCTTGTGAGCTTGGTCTGTTCACCTGGGCACAGCGTTAGTTACTTCACTGACAGCTCATTAATTTATCTTAAGTCTTAGATACCCAAATGAGAAGTACGAAAATGGGCAACAGCTAATGAGAGTTTTTTGTTTTAAAGCAAATGCTTTTTAGTATTTGCATCCCTCACTTTTTTAAGTCATTTTTTAATGCATTTGAGTCTTTCTTTTTCTTTTTAAAGATATTAGTGAAATGGTGGTGAAAGACAGCAGTGAAAGAGGGTAAAACAATTAATTAATTAACTAATTAATTAATGAGGTTGGCAGGTGGCATGGTGGCTAAGGGCGCTGGACTCCCACATGGCTGACTGCAGTTTGAGTCTCGGACCTGGCGGTTCGCTTTTTATCTCTCTCCCTTTCTCTCACTGTCCCTCTCTGGCCAAATAAATAAATAAAGTTAAATAAAATAATTATTTTTAAATTGAAATAAAAGAAAACAAGTTAAAAGGAAAAGTCAACAAAATACAACCTTTGTGAAAGGAGCAGCAAAATAAAAGTGAAAACATAAAACTGCCTGGGCCACTATTTTCCCACCCCAAAGCCTTCTTCTACCCTCTCTCTTTACTGGGAGTCTGCTTCCCACCAACACCTCCAATCTCAGCTTCCCCTGCAGGTAAGGCAGGCATGTGTCCCCAGGCTGGTCAATGAGACAGAGACAGAAAAGAAGTAAGCTGGGGATTGCTGAGGAAGCTTGAAAAGAATCCCTCCTCTTCTCTGCTCTCAGAAACGGCTAAGGACCCTGCAGCTGTGAGAAGAGGTATCAACAACAAGCAGAGGATGGCAGGGCAGAACGACTGCAAAGGCTGGTCTTTGAAGACACAAAGAACCACTGGCCCATCCTGGAAGAACCCAGTGCAGACTTGTTGAGTGAGACTGGTGATGAAGTCACTTATGTTGACAAGTGTCCCACTACTCAATCAGAAGAAACTTAACTGAAATTTAGACATTTCATTTAGAAGCCAGAGTGGAAATCATCTTATGTATAATAAAACTAAAGATCATTTATAATTATCTTTCAAATATGTATCAATACAATTATTAAAATCTTTAAAAGTTCAAATATTTTAAGACTGCTGGTTCCAGATAAACACTAAGCACACACTCATCCTCACTGCCTCTTGTAAGTCCGCCAAAATGATTAAAACACTTTAAAGGCAATCAACCCCAAGAAGAAGGAGAGCGGGTCCACTGGTAAACAAGAGATTTCAACAGATTTCTGCTGCATGGTAAAAGGACGGAAGCACATTCTTCCGTAAGGAGAGGAAGAAGCCATAACAAAGCGTAACAGGGACATGGCCTACCATGCATAAAACTCCAGTTTGAATCAGCAGATACAAAGAGCTGAGGGTGATGTAAAGTCTGTCCAGGGGATCTACTATGAAGTTCCATAGATGACAAGACACGCACAATGGCTGGGGCTTACTTTATGTATTAATTTATTTATAGTATTATATACATTAAGTCATATCTGCACATCTAAACTTTAGAGATAAACCTGTCTTAAGGCAATCTAAGGTCTCTGTATTACACAGGGGAAGAGTGAAGATACCGATTTAGATTTAGCTAAGGTCCTCTGTAATATAGTCTTGTGACTTTAAAAAGTTTACTTATTTCTTTCATGATGATGAGAGAGAGAGAGAGAGAGAGAGAGAGAGGGAGAGAGAGAGAGAGAGGGAGAGAGAGAGAGAGAGAGAGAGAGGAAAGACAACATCTTCAAAGGAGTCTCATGCCACAATCTCCCCAGCCTTCCTGTCCAGCCAGGACCATGGGTGCGTGTGTTCAGTGTGCACAGGCTGACTGGGGAATCCAACTCACAATCTTCCATATGGATTTAGTATCTCTGAAGGAGTGTGTTATTACTGTGCCACTGAGCCAGCCTCTTATGACTTTTTAAAAATCTATTTATGGGGGCCAGCAGGTGGCATGATGGTTAAGGCACTGGACTCCCACATGGCTGACCACAGTTCAGTCTTGGACCTGTTGGCTTGCTTTCTCCCTCCCTCTCTCTCTCTCTCATGAGCACAAGTGTCCTACAGCAAAATGAGAAAGAATAATAATAAATAAAATTAGATGATAATTCTTTTTTTAAAAAAGTCTATTTATGGAAAACCTAAACCAGTTAGCGCCCTCTCACTTCATTCCTCTCTACTCTCCCTATTTAATAGAGGTTTCTTTAAAATAATAATAATAATAAATCTAGATGATCCATTCAGAATGTTTAGACCAGATTAAAGGCATTTTAGGAAAAACAGAAATATGCAAGTAAAGAAATTATCTTTTAGTAAAATAAAATCTCTCAGAGGTCATAAGAAACATGAGTTTACTTTTATTTTTTGGAGAGAGATTTTTGCTATAGGGCTCTGCACACTAGTGGGAGAGACAGAGAGTGACAGAGACAGAAAGTGAGAAATCACCCCCCAGGGGGTGATGGCCATGACACAACCCCTTCTCCATTCTCCTCTCAGGATCTTGGGCACACGTTTGGCATGAGTTTTAAGCTGCCAGGTCTGAGACCTGAACTGCGGTTGACTACATCGGAGTCCAGTGACATAACCATTAGGCCACCTGCTGGTTCCAAGAAACATGAGTTTTCAAAGTCAATGACTGAAAAGACCCACTGACACACATGCACACATACATATACACACAAACATATGTATAGGGTTGTCGGAAAAGTCAGGACACATTTTTGCATAGAAAAAATGTCATGACTTTTCCGACAACCCAATATATCCTCACACACACACACACACACACACACACACACACATACATACACACACACTGGAAATTTTCAGCCATTACAAAGGATGAACTCTTGTCATTCAAAGTTAAATGGGTGAGCCTAGAGGTCATGTTATGTGAAATAAATCAGGCACGAAAAGGAAATACCACATGTTATTGCTCATATGTGGAAACTGGAAAAAATGACCTCATAGAGTAGAGAGATGAAGAATGACTACCAGAGAGTAGGAGAGGGGGAAAATATTATCAGATAGCAAAACATTAAAACAAGTTTATTATGTTTGAAAAAAAGTGATAGTTTGTATATGGAAAAGACTATTTATGCTTATTTAAGCTTAAAAATAATTTGTTAAAAAAAATCTTGAAAACCGTTTTCTCTTAGACTTCAAACTGCACTTTCAAATTTTATTCTAGACTCCTCCATGGCTCCTGAGAACTAGTGATTTCAAGGAAAAAAGAGAAATGAAGATTTTTCTACTAGTAATTCAGCCTCTAGCCCAGAAACTCGAGTTGTAGGGAGCCCCTTTAGTCTTCTCTCTGTCTCTCTCTGCCTCTGTCTCTGTCTTCTCATATTTTTATAATTTTTCCTTTTTAAAATTTTTTAAGGTAAAGTATTCTCTGGGCTTTCAGCCCCTCCTTTATCTCGCTAATAGTCCCCTTCCCCCTCCCCATCCAGGAGAGGCAAGGGGCAGACCTTCAGAAGAAGACTCCTCCACGGCTCCTGAGAACTAGTGATTTCATGTGGTGCACTCACATGCCATGCAGTTTTTTATTTTTGTTTTTTTTTAAAATAAAATTTTTTGGTGTTTTTTTTTTTCATTTTTTTCTTCCTTTTATCTTCCCCCTCCCCCGTTTCCTTTCCTTTTCCTTTTATCTCTTCACTCTGCTCCTCAGTCTCCACTCACTGTGTTTCTAGATGGATCTAAGGGAACCATGACCAAACATCCAAATACTATTAGGGTTAACATATTCCTCAATATTCACTGAATCTGCTGCACAAAGAGATAAAAATGGAATGGCAAAGAGATTCCAGATTGCCTCTTTCTGCATGCTCCTGAACACTTAGATCTAACTTCAAGAATTAGGAAGAAACACACCATTCATCAGATGACTAGAAATTACCTCAGGGCCACAAAAAATATAGGAAATCAAGAAAATATCTCTCCTCCAAGGGAAAATAATAAATCCTCTTCATCCACAGACAGTTCAATGGAAACCATGGAAATGTCTGATAAAGAATTTAGAATACTCGTAATGACAAAGCTCACAGAGGGAGAGAGATGGAAGAGAAGAGAGACAATGAACTGTGGAAGAGGCAGAAGAAAGGAGCTGATGAGTTCCAGGAGAGGAGGAAATTCTTGCAAGATCTAAAAGAGGAATTACACACTTTAAAAAATAATCAAATGGACCTGTTAGAGATGAAGGCTGTAATACAGAAAGTCAAAATCTCTCTTGAGAGTATTAAAAGTAAACTAGATCATACAGAAAATAGAATCTCAGATGTAGAAAATTGCTGACCTAGAAAAATCCACCACAAAGACTGAGAAAATTGCCCCCCAAAATGAGAATAATATATGAGAAATACTAGATACAATCAAACGTCCAAACATCCGGATAATTGGTATCCCAGAAGGCGACGAGACTCATAAGGGCATTGATAATCTATTCCATGAAATCCTGCAAGAAATATTTCCAAACCTAGAGAGGCACTCAAAGATCCAGTCCCCAAAAATACAAAGGACCCCAAACAGAATCAACCCAAGATCTTCTCCAAGACACATTATAGCCAGATTGACCAAAACCACAAAGACGATACTAAGATTGGCAAGAGAGAAACAGCGAGTTACCTACAAAGGTAAGGCTAACAGCAGACCTGTCATCGAAAATAATGAGAGAAAGGAAAGAATGGGAAAATATATTCTAAGTATTAAGGAAAAAGCAATTTCACCCAAGAATACTGTACCCAGCAAGATTATCCTTCATATGGGAAGAAAAGACAAGAACATTCTCAGATAAACAAAACCTGAAAGAATTTACCAACATCAGACCAGATTGCCAAGAAGTTCTCAAGGGAGTTCTATACCAGAAAATTAAATGCAGACACACAGAAATAAGAGCTCAAAAACTAAGAAAATGGTCAACTTAATCGTCTGGACTTGAATATTATATCCCTGAATTTAATCAGGAAAATCCTATCTTGAGCTGTCGGTAAGTTCATGTACCTACTATTGGAACAGAATCCTAACCTGTTTCCTGGCTTTAAGTTTTAAGCAAAGTTCCTTAGCATTTCTTTTATTTATTTTTTCTATTTTTGAAGAGTTTTTTTTTTTTTTTTTTTTTTTTTTTTTTTTATAGGATGTCTTCCCCC